GGCTCACTCCAGTACAGAGCCTGAGGCAGGGCTTGATCTCACAACGCTGAGATCATGACCTGAGCCAAAATCATGAGTGGGATGTTTAACCAACTGAGGCACTCAGGAGCCCCTCTACCAAAATTTAAAAAATTTTATTCTTTTTTTTTTTTTAAGATTTTATTTTTTTGATAGAGAAATCACAAGTAGGCAGAGAGGCAGGCAGAAAGGCGGGGGTGGGGAGTAAGCGGGCCCTCTGCTGAAAAGAGAGCCTGATATGGGGCTCAATCTCAGGGCCCCAAGATCATGACCTGAGCTGAAGGCAGAGGCTTAACCCACTAAGCTACCCAGACACCCCAAGAATTTTATTCTTTAAAGAAAATTCGAGAATTCTATTCTTCTGAAACTATTTGAAAAAAAAAAAAAATAGAAGAGAAAGGAAAGCTTCCAAAATCATTCCATGAGGCCCTGATACCAAAACCAGATAGACACTACAAAAAAAGAGAAATATAGGCCAATAACTCCAATGAACATAGATGCAAAAATCCTTGCAAAATATTAGCAAATTGCATCAAACAATACATTAAAAAAGTCATTCATCACCATCAGGTGGGATTTATTCTCAGTATACGAGGGTGGTTCAATATTTGCAAATCAGTCAATGTGATACATCCCATTGTGATACATCACATCAACAAGAGAAAGGAGAGGGGCACCTGATTGGCTCAGTTGATAGAACATGTGACTCTTCATCTCAGGATTGTAAGTTCAAGCCCTGTGTTGGGTATAGAGATCACTTAAAAATAAAATCTAAACAAACAAACAGAAAGACAAGAGAAAGGATTAAAACAATATGACCATTTCAACAGATGCAGAAAAAGCATTTGACAAAGTACAATATCCATTCTTGATAAAAATCCTTAACAAAGTAGATTTAGAAGGAACATACCTCAACATAATAAAGGCCATTTATGAAAAACCCACAGCTAACATCATACTTAATGGTGGAAAACTGAGAGCTTTTCCCCTGAGATCAGGAATAAGACAAGGATAACCACTCACCATTTATTTTTTTTTAAGTAGGCTCCATGCCCAGCCTGGAGCCCAACATGGGACTTGAACTCATGACCCTGAGATCAAGGTGAGCTTAGATCAAGTTATCGAGCTGACTTCGAGAATCAGATGCTTAACCGCCTGAGCCACCCAGGTGCTCTCACCGCTTTTATTCAGCATTGTACTGGAAGTCCTAGCCACAGCAATCCGACAAGAAAAAGAAATAAAAGACATCCAAATTGGTAAGGAAGAGATAAAATTTTCACTATTTCCAGATGACATGCTATTATGTATAGAAAACCCTAAAGAATTCACCAAAAAACTACTAGAAGTGATAAAGGAATTCAGTAAGGTCACAGGACACAAAATCAATATACAGAAATCCACTGCATTTCCATACACTAATAATGAAGTAGCAGAAAGAGAAATTAAGAAAACAATCCAATTTATAACTGCATCAAAATAATAAAATATCTAGGAATTAATCAAGGAGCCAAAAGAGCTATACTCTGAAATCTATAAAACACTGATGAAAGAAAGTGAAGACAACACAAACAAATGAAAAGATATTCCATGCTCATGGATTGGAAGAACACATATTGTTAAAATCTCCATACAACCCAAAGCAATCTACAAATTAAATGCAATCCCTATCAAAATACTAACAGCATTGTTCACAGAACAGATAACACTAAAATTTGTGGGAACCACAAAAGATCCTGAATACCCAAGGCGATCTTTAAAAAGAAGAACAAAACTGGAGGTATCACAATCCCAGGTACCAAGATATAATACAGAGCTATAGTAATCAAAACACTATTGTACTGGCACAAAAAGAGACACATAGAGCAATAGAACAGACTAGAGAGCACAGAAATACAACCATGATTATGTGGTGAATTAATCTTTGACAAAGGAGGCAAGAATATGCAATGGGAAAAAGACGGTCTCTTCAACTGGTGTTAGGAAAACTGGACAGCTACTTGCAAAAGAATGAAACTGGACCACTTTCTCACACCATACACAAAAATAAACTGAAAATGAATTAAAGGCCTAAATGTGAGGCCTGAAACCATAAAAATCCTAGAAGAGAGGATTTTGACATTGGCCATAACAACATTTTTCTGGCTATGTCTCCCAAGGCAAGGGAAACAAAAGCAAAAATAAACTATTGGGACTACATCAAAATAAAAAATTTCTGCACAGTAAGGAAACAATCAACAAAACTAAAAGACAACCCACCGAATGGGGAAAGATATTTGCAGATGACATGTGCAATAAAAAGTTAGTATCCAGAATATATAAAGAACTTACACAACTCAAAAAAACAAGTAATCCAACCAAAAAAATGGACAGAAGGCATGAACAGACATTTCTCCAAAGAAGATATGTAGATGGCCATCAGACACATGAAAAGATGCTCAACATCACTGGTCATCAGGAAAATGCAAATGAAAACCACAATGAGGGGGCGTCTGAGTGGCTCAGTCAGTTAAGCGTCTGCCTTCGGCTCAGGTCATGATCCCAGGGTCCCGGGATTGAGCTCTGCATAGGGCTCCTTGCTCGGATGGGTGGGGGGAGCCTGCTTCTCCCTCTGCCTGCAGCTCTCCCTGCTTGTGTGTGCACGCCTCTCTCTCTCTGGCAAATAAATAAAATATAAAGATGAAATGAAATAAAATAAATTAAAAAACAAAAAACAGAACCACAATGAGATATCATCTCACACCGGTCAGAATGTCTAAACAACAGCAACAACACAGGAAACAAGTGTTGGCGAGGATGCGGAGAAAGGGGAACCCTCTTACACTGCTGGTGGGAATGCAAGCTGGTGCAGTCACTGTGGAAAACGGTATGGAGGTTCCTCAAAAAGTTGGAAATAGAACTACCCCATGATCTAATAATACCACTCCTGGGTATTTACCCAAAGGATGCAAAAACACTAATTCAAAAACATATATGCGCCCCTATGATTCTTGCAGCATTATTTACAATACCCAAATTATGGAAGCAGCCCAAATGTCAACTGACTGATGAATGGATAAAAAAGAAGTGGCATATACACACACAGAATATTGGTCACAAAAAAGAAGGACATATTGCCATTTACAATAACATGGATGAATCTAGAGGGTATAACCCTAAGTGAAATAAGTCAGTCAAAAAAAGAGAAATAACATACAATTTCACTTATATGTGGAATTAAGAAACAAAACAAAGGAACAAAGGGGAGCAAGAAGAGACAGATCCCCAAAACCGGCTCTTAACTGTAGAGAACAGATGGTCACCTGAGGGGAGATGAGTGGGGGGATGGGTGAAAAAGGTGAAGAGAACACTTACCACAAGCACTGAGTAAACTAATTAACACTTTATTAATGATCCTGGATACTTTCTTTTTTAAAAAAAGATTTTATTTATTTTTTGAGAGAGAGAGAACATAAGCAGGGGGAGCAGGGGCAGAGGCAGAGGGAGAAGCAGACTCCCCGCTGAGCAGGGAGCCTGACGTGGGGCTCCATCCCAGGACCCTGAGATCATGATCTGAGTCAAAGACAGATGCTTAACAAACTGAGCCACCCAGATGCCTGATACTAGATACTTAAAAGTTTAAAAAGGAAAGAAGACCAGGAGGGCATGGACACGCTCTGCTGAGAGGTTTGTGAGGCTCAAAATTTCTCCTCACATTTTATTTTCTAGAATTCAGTCACATGGCTCCATCAAGATTCAAGGAACCAGGTGGAAGGATGTGTTTTCTCCTAGGCCGTCAGAGTGCAATAATCCCGAAAGGAGAGAACCAGTTTTTTAGTGGTTAGTGAGCTGATCTCCCACAACTTAAACAGAAAAAATATAAATAACGTCCATGTGCAGCTCTCTCCTGTACCTTCCAAGACTTTTCTCTAATGACCTATTTGGACCCACTAGAATGGGCAGAGTGGTTAGGATGCTGTCCTTGGACTTGACATGAGGGACTTTCCTCACCTGATTCAATTTGAGAAAAAGGAAGGAACAGGCAGGGTCTCTTTAAATAACTGCTTCCTTTCCGTTTTGGTACAAATACTCTTTAGACTGAGCAATTACTAACTGCTGGCTTTTAGGGTGGTGGTTGTTTATTAACAAAGAAATTATAAAGTTGAACCATTCTTCCCTGAGCGAGAGTAGGCAGAGAATGGACGAAGAGAGTAGTAGCCTGGAACAAGTGGTTACGCAGTGGGACATTTCGTTGCTAATTATGCTTCACCTGAATGACAGTACTTGGGAGGCAGGCAGTTAGCTCCTGCTAATGGCGCACCATGGGACAGGTATTGCCTAGCACAGAGACAGAGGCTGGAACGGCCACTCCAGGGGCCAATAAAACCAGTTTTATGGAAGAAGCCATCTTTGTTAAAAACCAAACCCGACCAAACGTGGAATTCCCCGACAGGAGATGCAGCACCAACCCCAGTCTTCTCAAATTCATTCCGCACAAGAGCCCCATGCCCTCAGTCTAGAATGAACCAGAGCAAACGAACTGTCCTGTGTGTAGAATGTGGACCTCTGTGATTCAGGGTGATCAGGGTCTTACACAAAGAGCTGACGATCTACTCAGACTCAGGGGCCCTGATCCAAATCAATCCACCTAGATGAGGGTCTGGTTTGTACAAAAAGGAGGGGTTGCTCACCAGTCGAGAGAATTCGCTCCCTACTCTATGTTGTCTTTTTATTATTAAATCTAATTCATGGTGCCTTTAAAACACAATGTGGTTCACACTCAACTCGCCAAGAGTATATCAGTTATGTAAAGTGAGGCACCCTGTAATTCTGTGAGGCTCTCAGCAAGTCCCTGGGCTCCAGGGCTCTGGGCAGCCCAGCTGTCCCTGCCACGAACAGGTGGTGTAAGACAATAGCTCCACTGAGCCGACTCTCTTTCCAAAGCCTCTAGCAGCCAAGCTCCCAGCCAGAGACGGCTTGCAAGCAGCACGGCCACTCCTCGCACACCAGTCCACACCAGCACCCACAGCCCATGGAGCCCCAGCCGCTCCTCCTGCTCCTCGGGCTCTGCTCAGGTAAGCCAGGGCCGAGGGGCTCTCCTGTGAGGCTGAAGCATTAGACGGCCCCAGGGACCAGGTCTTGCTTCCTCCTGGGAACACAGGATGGCCGGCCTTCATCAGCCTGAGGCTCTCCGGTCAGCTCTCACTCTGGTTGGCTTGATTCGGTTTGTGGATGATTTCTGGTTTGTGTTATTCAGTGAAGATGGGAGCTGCCTGGTCAGAGGCTACAAAGTAGACATGCAGGCCCCTCCTGCCATCAGGGCCTGGGGTCTCCTCACCCGTCACTCCTCACAGCACCCCTGTGACCATCCAAGAGCAACTACAGGGACTTGGAGTGACATCTTATAATTACAATTTGGGTAACATTCTTTTTACTGCCCTGGCAGAATTCTGATGATGAAGAAAGAGGCCTGATTGACAGCTGCATGTGCAGGAGAGAGAAACCTATTAATAATTGTAACTAAGCTCTTTCCATAAGAGATTAAATATTTGGTCTTTTTTTTTTTAACTTTAGCAGTTAAAAAAAAAAGTCGTATGAACGCACTTCTGCCCTACTCTTTTACTCTATGTAGGTTTGGGTTGGAATTGAAACTATAAAACCTTGCTCAGCCCTTGACCTGCATTCCCCTCCGGAATGTGTCAGCACACAGCAGCTGAAACGCTAGCCTGAATCCCAGACTTCCGGTGGGGGGAAGTAGGGGATGTGTGCTGATTGCTTCACATAAAAGTTTACTGGTGATATCATCTCACCTGAGAAATAAGACGGCTGACAGAGTGTGATGCCTCTTCTCTAATACTGCTCTGACACACACAGACCTGCTGGGCAAAAAAAGGTAAACAGCTTTATTGTTAAGGTTTTCCAAGAGCGGAGTTCAGGGAAGTAGCCCAAGCTCAGATAAATTACAGCCTGTGGGATTTGGACTTGATCCAACCAAAACTGGCCTGTGGTAGTGGGGTGTGTGTGTGTGTGTGCACATGTGTGTACGTGTGTGCACTCATGCGCCTGCAAACACTACACTCAATGAAAATTCTTAAGTGATGAGCTTACACATGAAAATCCTTAAATGATCTCTCAGGACACCAAAGGCCTCTGGAAAACACATGTTTACCTATCTAAAAATGTGATGTATACTTAGACCAAACCTAGAGTTTCCTGGTATCAGTTCACAGAGGGGCTCACAGAAATTTAGAGCGAGATCAGGCAGTCCCACAACTTCAATTTGTTATTACAGGGAATCCGAGGCTGAAAGACGTGAACTGACCCACCTGGGGTCACTTAGTTTACAAATGTTGGAACGTGGCCAGTTGGAGACTGTCTATGATGTGCCTTGTCAGAAAACCCAGCCTGAAATTGCCAAAGGTAGCAAGAGGTACAGAGCCAGGTTGAGATAAGAATTAGTTAGCCAAAGTGACTGGTACCATTTCAGAATTCCTTTCACCCAATCCAGCGGGCTGTTCCTCCAAAAAATGCAAATTGAACCAGTATGGTCCAAAAAGAACACTTTGAAACTGTGGCTGGTTCAATTCTATTTTTTAAAGACTTGATTTATTTATTTGACAGAGAGATCACAAGTAGGCAGGGAGGCAGGCAGAGAGAGAGGGGGAAGCAGGCTTCCCGCTGAGCAGAGAGCCCGATGCGGGGCTCCATCCCAGGACCCTGAGATCATGACCTGAGCTGAAGGCAGAGGCTTTAACCCACTGAGCCACCCAGGTGTCCCTGGTTCAGTTCTTTGTAGACAAAATTCTCATTCACATCAGGGACACTTTTTCATATGTTAGCTTACCACTTAATGATCTCTGTTTTACTTATGCAGCGTCTTTGATTTCAACCTCTTCCTCTCTTCCATCTCTGGAATCCTAAGTATTTCACAGCCATTTTTCTTATGGCATATTACTTTCCAGCTTGTTCCAACTATTTATGTAAATGACACATGTCTGTCTCCAAGAGGGCAGAAAGAGAGGATTTGTATCAGATTCACCTCTAAATATCTCAAAGCTCTTAAAACAATGCTTTGCCCACAGTAAGTGCTCAATAAATACTTGATGAATGAATTAATGTTGCCACCATCTGAATAAAGATGACCCATCTGATCTTGCAGAAAAGAAAGACTTTGACATTATTTATTTGTATGTTTACCAATTTACACCCTGTCTTGAAGAAAGTATTTACTGTGATTCATTGACTCCATGAAGAACTGATCTGATATCCAGACCACATTGGAGCTGGGAACAGAATCACAGGAAGTCCTGTATGTTTTCTCTTACTTTACCCTGTTTGGGAGGAAGAAAAGGAAAACAACAACAAAAAAACACCACCACCACCAATCAACCCAATCTAAGACATGGAGATCTCCACAGAAGTTCCTTAGAAATGTACTGTGAAAGGAACGGGGTCTCTTGTTATTTGTGAGACTGAGCGAGGAAGAAGGGAATGTCACTGGAATGCTGATGAGGCCCGTCTCCCCAGTCTTCCCCTTCTTCCTAGTAGACAATAGAGTTGGCTGCATAGTTTTCCTACTTTATAGTGTGGACCATATGCTCTATCTGATGCTTTCTAGTATGTTCTTCCTGTCAACGGGGAATAAACAGTCACTTAAAAATAAGCAGCCCAGGAAGGGCTAAAGCAATAGCTTCAAACTCAGTGGCCCAGGCACTCGGTGGCCCATGCCAGGGTCCTACCCCACCCCCACCGTGGACCAGCAGAGGCCCAGAATGGACAGGTACGGAGGACAGAGGATTGCCATGTCCCAGGGTCTTGATGGAGCAACAGCAAAAACTGGGTCTTTGAACAACATGCAAACCTGAAGGGTGCTGAATGTAGGTGGCCAGTGTTTTAGGCTTGTTATATTATGTTACATTATATGTTATGTTATGTTATGTTATGTTATGTTATGTTATGTTATATGTTATGGATTCTTCTGGGTTCAGAAAGTTTGGGAATCTAGAAATGAGGTAGGTGAGATCACGGGTTCCAAACACAGAGTCCAGGAAGGCCATAATGCACACATGTAGGCTATACTGAGAGCTTCAAAAATCCGAATGGAAATGATACGTTTATCTTTAGGGAGGTGGTAAAGAGCACAGACCCCGGGGTCAGACTGTCTGCATTTCTAGCCTCACTTCCAACTGGCTGGGAACCACGAGCACAGGTCTCAACTGTCCAAATGCCCGTTGTCTCCCTTGTAAACCAGGGGTAGAGACTGACCTCACAGGATTATTCTAAGGATTCACTAAGATAATACAAACACAGCCCGTCGGTGACGCTCTAGCAAAAAAATACACGTTTTGGGGACGATGAAAATGTTTTGAGTCATTGCATAACACTGGTTTCAAGATGATCCAAAGTGCTGGGTGTGAAATATCGAGGACAAGAACAGTACCTACCCCACTCAGTTATGAGGATTCAAAGAGTTAGTACATATAAACCACACGGGACAGTGTCTGCCACGTAATAGTTGGATATGCTGATTTTATTAATCAATAAAAATTTTTAAAGTAATTACTTTTTAGTTCATTATTTTGTTGACAAACTCTTTCAAACTGAAGTTTCAAGGAGAAAAATAATAAAGAAAAATAATAACCTGTCTTAGAGGCAATAGATTAACACTACTGGGGAAAAAAGGAAAGCATCTCATTCTTCCCATTTTTAAAGTTGGCTTGGCCCAAGGAGAAGGTATGGTGGCTTCAGCAATAACCTGCGGAAAGGGGAGATCTGGTTACGTGCCTTAGGGCAAGTGGATCGTGTGTCTGCTTCCTCTCCTAACCCTGAACAGGCAATCCCCAATCCACGTAAGGCTTAAGTTACAAAGGTCCTTCATAAGGCACTTGTAGGAATTGGGAACACTTTTTCTCATAGGAATAATGCTAGGTGCAGCAGTGTAATTTCCAGGACAGCCCACGACACACTCATGGTATCTTGAGTTAGTGCAGAAGCAGAGTTCAAAATGGCGGGGCTGCCTCTAGGCTCTGCCCCAGCCGCAGGACCTTGGACAAGTCTCCCAGCCTCTCGGATCTCTCGTGAGAATGCCAGTCAGCATTGCCTCATGCGAGGCTGGTGAGAACCGTGTAACACTGGACACAAAAGGGCTGTGGGGTCCAAGAGTAGTAGATACTATCTCTCAGCATCCCGAAGGAGAATGTAGTAAAGATTCCTAGGAGTCACTCACGCTCCAGATAGTAACGTGACCAGATCCAGATCAGAAAAGCCCATGATTTTTACTCTATGTAACTTCACAGGGACGCATACTCGCCAGCAGTGATTTTTTTTTTTTAAATTACAGGAAAACACACTACATAGAATTTGTCCTGGTAAAATATACATTACCAAAATTGCTGTATTTAAGTGTATGATTCAGTGGCATCAAGTACATTCACAATGTTATGCAACATCCCTGCTATCCAGTTCCAGAACATCGGCCCAAAGGAAAGCCTATACCCATATACCCATTAATAATTACTCCCCCTTCTCCCATCCCCGCTGTTCCCACTAGCCAGGAATCTGCTCTCTCCGCAGATTTACCCATTCTGAATATTTCATGTAAATGGAATCCTATGATATGTGCCCCTTTGTGTCTGATTTCTTTCACTTAGCACAATGTTCTCAGAGTTTGTCCACACTGGAGTGTAAACCAATCCTTCCTTTTTATGGGTGAATAACATTCCGCTGCACGGCTATGCCCTGGTTTGCTCGTCCGTGTATCTGTTGATGGGCGTTCGGGATGTTTCCAACTTTTAGCTCTTATGTCTAGGGCTTCCACAAACACTGGTGTACAAGGCTCTGTGTGGACAGTTCTTTGGGGGATGTGCCTAGGTGTGGGATTGCTAGGTCATACCGTCACTCCGCATGTAGCTTGTGTGCCAAACTGTCTCCCAGAGCGGCCGCATGTTTCATTTCTCACCAGCAACAAATGAGGGTTCCACTACTTCACCGATAGTCACTGCTTTCCATTCCGTAAATTCCTGCCATCCTAATGGGTAGGAACCAGCATCAATTTTTGGCATTGCTAGCATTTTGAGATCTAAGATTTGAGATTTCATGACCCTGGGACGAGACCTTGAAATATGGAGACAGGCTTGTGTGTGGATTTTTCCTTTTGTGTGTGTGTGCACCCAGCAAACCCGAGTCCAGCCAGCGGCTGTGCTCAGGAATGTCATCTGTTCAGGTTACGAGTGTCATGATAATCTGGCACGCCCCACTGGGAAGGGACCCCACCAGCAGCTGCCACTGGAAAGGAATGTAGGGCCGTATAAGCTGCACTGGGAGCCTCCCACCAAGGGGGCCCACGCGCCTTCCATTCACGGGTCATGCCTCAGTGATTCACATTAGTGTTGGGGGAGGGTGGGGGGCGGGATCTGACAGCGTGTGTGTCATTTGCTGTCCAGCTGGCCTCGTCCTGGGCTCCGAACATGAGACCCGCCTGGTGGCCAAGCTCTTTGAAGATTACAACAGCGTGGTGCGGCCAGTAGAAGACCACCGCCAGGCTGTGGAGGTCACTGTGGGCCTACAGCTGATCCAGCTCATCAACGTGGTGAGGAGGCGGCAGGCGGGGCTCCCCATACCCCTCACCCTGGGCCCCTTCCCATAGCTCCCCGCCTCCCCACTAAAGATGCGGTCTGACCTTTTTTTCAGGATGAAGTAAATCAGATTGTGACAACCAACGTGCGACTGAAACAGGTATTCAGCTGAATAAGTGCACGGATGTCACCTGTCTTCACCCTGGAATTGAACCGGGGCCTTGGGGGAGGATCCATCTGGATAACAGGGACGCATACCAACATGATGCAGGAAAATATTTCGGTGTCGTGGGACTAAAGATCATATTTGTCAGGGCGTGTGTGTGTGTGTGTGTGTGTGTGTGTGTGTGTTTTACTTTGTGCTTTGCTAGGCTGCCGTAACAAAGCCACAGACAAATTTTGTTCTCTTACAGTTCTTGAGGCCGAAAGTCCACATCCAGGTATCGGCAGAACTGGTTCCTTCTGAGGGCTGTGAGAGGGACTCGGCTTCCAGGCCTTTCTTCTTGGCATATAGTTGGCCAACGGCATGTCCCCATGGCATTCTTCTCGAACATGTTTCTGTCTTCAAATGTCCCCTTCTTTAAGGACATGACCCATAGTGGATTAGAGCCTCCTTCAATGAGCTTATTTTAGCCTAATTACCTCTAGAAAGACCCTATCTCCAAATACAGTTCAATTCTGAGGTACTGGGGATTAGGACTTCCACATACGAGTTTTGGGGGAGACATGGCTCAATTCACAACATTGTGTCATCCAAATGGGCTACATGGGGCGTGTATTACTTTCACACTGTAGGAAAAAACAGAACACTTTTAAAAGATGACGCTGGCTGCTCAAGGGGAATGTTCACGAGGGTCATTCTCCTTTTCTGGGGTGGGCAGGGCAGCATGGCTGATGTGCTGCCACCGGGTGGTGGGACTTGGGGTACCTTTGTTTTCTCCTCTGTAAAATGGGGTCAATAGTCACTCTTCCCTCACAGGATTGTTGTGAAGACTAAATCATGAATATATATAAAATGCTCTGAACAGTGTGTGCATGGTGGGGGGGGCGGTCAATGCTATAGAGTGTTTGCTGTTATCGTTTACTCAAGTGGAAGCTGAATTCTGAATCAAACTTTTCTTACTGGAGCACAATTTTGGTCAATATCCGAACTATCGTACCATCAGGACTCTTGATAACTTTATTTATTTACGAAGATTTTATTTCTTGAGCTTAGAGAGAGAGAGAGAGCAGGGAGGAGAGGCAGAGCAAGAAGGAAGTCTCCAGCAGACTCTGTGTCGGCTCAGGGCTCGATCCCACGACCCTGAGATCATGACCTGAGCTGAGATCAAGAGCCGGCTGCGTCACCAGCTGAGCCACCCAGACAGATGCCTCTTGATAACCTCAGATTTTTAAAACAACATTTTTAGCTCTTCTTATTAGTGAAACGTTTTCATTTCTAGCAATGGGTGGATTACAATCTGAAATGGAATCCAGACGACTATGGCGGCGTGAAAAAAATCCACATTCCCTCGGAAAAGATCTGGCGCCCAGACCTCGTTCTCTATAACAAGTAAGCGAAACAGGCTGGGGCGGGGGACATTCTAGGGGCAGGGGGAGTCCAAGGGCCCTCTCGGAAGGGCTGCCACTCTCAGTATGCCTCTCACCACTGTTCCCATTAAATAACCCTTAAAAACCAAGAGCCAAGTTGACATGCTAGGGGTGCCAGATGGTGTCTCATGTTATGAATAGAAACAATTATCAGAGCCAAATTGAATCAGGGCTGTGGGGTAGGGGACATTTAATTCCTGAGCGCTCCTAAAGGGTGTGTGGCAACTATCCAAGGAACCAAATTCATATAATCGAGTTCCTTGGAATCCCATGTCCGTCCTCCCCGATAGGTCTGAACCTCAGGGGGTGGTTATCCATCACATCCCCACGGCAGCCCGAGACATTGTGTGTTGCCCATGGCTGGGAGGCTGGCGTCGCCCATCCACTGGGCTCCGTGACAGACTGCACATTGTGAAATTATAATGTGATGCGAGACACTCTGGTTTAATGACAGGTTCATTATCATACGCCCTTCATTTGTCAGGGAATGCTCATTTCAAAGAGCGTCCTTCCCAGGCAGGAGCATCCACCAGCGGCCTGGAGGGCTTACAGGCTGGCGGTCTACAGCGAGGGGCTGGGCAAGCGGGCTGCGCCTTCTTGAGCATTGACCGGGGAGGTCCGTAAGGCCTTGTGAACGGAAATGACCCCCCTTACGGCCGACCCTCACACTTTGATTTTCTACTACAGATTTCCCAATGACAACCTGAGATTCAAGCTGGAGCCCGATTAGCCAATTGTTTGTGTAACCCTCTTGGACAAATACGCTGATAGAGCAGAGTGCCTGGTCTGTTAAGTTTCTCTTTCAGTAAGAATCTAAGAGAAGCAATTAAAGTCCTCGGGTCCTCTTGATAAGCTTGCTAGCGAACACCTGTGGGGGAGAGAACCCTGTTTCACTTGCTTATGGAAACAGATCTGGGTGATCCTGTGGCCCTCTGCTCTTTAGGCCCCTTTTGGGAAGGTCCAGAACTGCAGTTTTCTGGAGAGAGCCTCACCTTCACCCCAGGAAAAAGCCAGTGGGAAGAAAATCTCTTGATTTATGAAGTGAGGCACCAATATAGGCCCTGCGTCCCTGAAAGTCCCCCAGGACAGACCCCACCCACCTGTTCAACACCTATTCTAATACCTTTGCCGGGGGCCCCACAACACGGGTTGTCTGGGGTCAAGTGGACTGCCCACTGAATAAGGCCTGCAGAAGTGGCTCGTTGTTTTTTATTATCTACCACTGTGGATTATTTATTTATTATTTTTAAAAAAAGATTTTACTTACGTTTTTGAGAGAGAGAGAGCGAGACAGACAGCACAAGCGGAGGGGCAGAGGGAGAAGGGCAGGAGGGTTAGAGGGGTGAGACGAAGGGCTCCATCCCAGGACCCTGGGATCAGGACCTGAGCTGAAGGCAGATGCTTAACCAATGGAGCCACCCAGGCGCCCCTCTATGGTGGATTTTTTTAGATGAGAAATTAATGCCAACATTTGAAAATTGAACAATATCACATTAAACTTTGGAGTTCTAGTCTCTCTAGAAAAATCCTTTACTCAAAAGCATGGAAACTTTGGATTAAAAAATTCTAGATCTCCAGGTCCGGAGGAAGAATCCCAGTATCTGTCAGCATCACGCCTTCCCTCACAAGCGGACTCCACAGCCGAGTGGCACCTTCCTTAGAGAAGAGAAGGCTCTCCCCTTCCCCCTCACCCCTTCCTCACCTGCCTGGGCCTGGAGGAATCTGAGTTTGCGACTCTACCCTACTGAGTTCTAGATACTTGTGCAAAAGAAAACAGAGCCCTTCTTTAACCTGTTTACCACAATAATGAACCACTGGACATGTTTTTGTTTAAAATTCCTGTTTGTTTGTTTTTTTTTTTTCCTCCAGTTAACTTTCAAAGAGCACTGGGGAAGGGATAGATGGAGATTAACATTACAAATGCTACTGAGGACTGGGAAGAAAACATCTGGTATATAGTGTCACCTGTTATTTCTTTAAAGCTCTAGATTCCTAGGTTCTTCCCCAGATATTCTGATTTAGTGCTTAGATGGTGCTCAGAAACCTGTATTTTAAACAAGCACCCCAGCGATTACCAGACAAATTTGGGAAACGTTGCCATGAATAAAGAGTGACACTGCCCGAATGAAAGCATCTATAATTAGCACCTGAATAATTAACAGCTGTCTCCCGCTAACATCCCCGAGCACAAACGAAGGCTCATCCGTCACTTGGAGTCACGCTCCTCTTTGATTCCGCTTGCAGTGCAGACGGCGACTTTGCCATTGTCAAGTTCACCAAAGTGCTCCTGGACTACACTGGCCACATCACATGGACACCCCCGGCCATCTTCAAAAGCTACTGTGAGATCATCGTCACCCACTTTCCCTTTGACGAACAGAACTGCAGCATGAAGCTGGGCACCTGGACCTACGACGGCTCGGTGGTGGCCATCAACCCGGTAGGCGCCGCCCTCGAGGGACAGATGGGGCTGAACGCAGGAGGAGCACCATCCAGGTGTCCAGCTCTGGCCCTCTAGAGTCCCAGACTCTCAGCACCAGTTAGACCTTTGGGGGCCATTGACTTCACCGGTTCTCAATTGAGAACACATGAGAACCACCTGGGAGCTTACATAAATTGGCTTGGTCCCAGGAATGTTGGCTTAGTCAGTCTGGGGTGGGACTACGGCACCCATATGTTGTCAAGTTTCCAAGTGACTTGAAGGTGTGGTCAACACGGAGGACCCCAGTGATTCAACCCCGCCCCCCCCTTATTTTATAGGAGAGGATCTAAGACCCCACATCAGAAGTGACCTTCTGGGTTCCATTCCAGTCCCAACAGCCCTAGAATCTGTTGTTTTATTACAGCCAAGTGTGAAACCCACCTCTCCTCCACGGGGACACAGCTGGGGTTTCACAGTTTCATTTCATCTTCTCAGGAAAGCGACCAACCAGACCTAAGCAACTTCATGGAAAGTGGAGAGTGGGTGATCAAGGAGTCCCGGGGCTGGAAGCACTGGGTGTTCTACGCCTGCTGCCCCTCCACCCCCTACCTGGACATCACCTACCACTTTGTCATGCAGCGCCTGCCCCTCTACTTCATCGTCAACGTCATCATTCCCTGCCTGCTCTTTTCCTTCTTAACTGGCCTGGTGTTCTACCTGCCCACAGACTCAGGTGGGTGCCAGGGCTGTGGCTGCAGCTGCTACCACTGCTGCCGCGGGCAGATCTCGTGCTGCTATGTGGGGGGAAACCAGGAATAATCATGGGCCAGTAAACAAATACAGGCAGACATGCCCAAAACATCATCCCTGGGAGGACGCATTTACGGAGTCTCCCTGTTCAGTGGTGAGTGCCTGTGGCTAGAGCCCTCGGCTGGCGCAGACCACAGGGCAGGCAGAGTTGAACATGACCCGGGGGTGCACGTGCACAGCTCAGTCTGGTTAATGTGAATGACCACCAGTGCCTCCTTGCCGGAAAACCTAGTGTGTGCCCAGGAATGTGCTGGGTAAGGCCTGGGTCACAGACACCCCTCATGTCACGTCCCCTATGAAGCCGCAGACTATATACTGATTAATCCAAGTCCTGAGTCTTTTCCTCACTGCTTGCCACTTGAAAATAGCTTTGGCATTCCCGTTTTCCAGATGGCAGCATCTCTACACAAGACCATGCTTCCCAAGTGGCAATTCTTTCTCACATATCAGCCTGGACAGCTTCCTTACCTCCTACTGGGTAATCACACCTGTGACATAATTTCACCAAATACCAACCATCCGCAGAAAAGGGGAAAAGGGTGCACGAGTGCCTGCTTTAAGTCACTGCTCATAAACGATTTAGGACAAGCAAGTAGGGGAAAAGAAAGGTGGTAAAGACAGTCCTCAAACTTATGACTGGTAACAATTGTATCAAAATTATAAAAGAACACACACACACACAAGTCTAAGTTCAACTTTCCAACAACAACAAAAAAAGATTCATATGCACTCGCTCATTCCACATACTGAACAACTGTCAATCATTAAGGCCACAGTAGAGAATAAGGCAGAATGTGGCCCACAAGGGGTATCGGGCTGGCTCAGTCAGGAAAGCATGCAACTCCTGATCTCGGGGTTGTAAGTTCAAGCCCAACACTGAGTGTTGAGATTACTTAAAAAAAAAAATTAAATGAAATCTAAAAAAAAAAAAAATAGATTTTCCCCACAGGGTGCACGTTGTACTTATGATTGTGTGTGTGTGTGTGTGTGTGTGTGTGTGTTTAAAGATTTTTATTGATTTATTTGACAGATGGAGATCACAGGTAGGCAGAGAGGCAGGCAGAGAGAGAGGAGGAAGCAGGGCCCCTGCCGAGCAGAGAGTCCGATGCGGGGCTCGATTCCACGACCCTGGGATCATGACCTGAGCCGAAGGCAGAGGCTTCAACCCACTGAGCTGTCCAAGCGCCCCTATGACTGTGTTTTTAAACAAATGATTACAAATACAAATTTTTTTCAACTTTCTAATTAAATGAAGCTTCTTAAAGTGAAGAGAGAAAATGCCAGCCAGGGCAATATGGAAATGAATCAGAGTTTCTGTAAGTGTGAAATGGTTTGTGCTTGAAGAGCATTTAGAACAGTAAGAATGCTTGATAAATGTTAGCTCTTATTATCAATCGAGAAATTTGATGTAACTTGATCAGTAGCTCGTATTTATAATTCTGTCCTCTTTTCCACTTTTATTTTTTTTTAAAGATTTTATTACTCTATTTGACAGAGAGACACAGCGAGAGAGGGAACACAAGCAGGGGGAGTGGGAGAGGGAGAAGCAGGCAAGCAGGCTCCTCGTGGAGCAGGGAGGGGCTCGACTCGAGGACCCTGGGATCATGACCTGAGCCAAAGGCAGATGCTTAACGACTGAGCCCCCCAGGCATTCTTTTTCACTTTTGAAGACTCTCCTCCCCACTAGGTAGACTTCTCCTAACTCGGTAGAATTGGTCGTTTCTTCTCTGCTTCCACTCTGTATCCCGTAGATACTCGCAGCATCTGGAAGCATCAGATATGGGAGGAGAACAGAGGAACACAAGGGTTTCCCAAAACAAACAGCAAGACCAGGTCAAAGAAAGTCCCTTCCAAAGGCTGTCTAACTGCTTCTCAGGTGGTCCGTCCCCACAAAAATATTCCAGTGCCATTCAGCCCCTCTCTCGCTTGCCATATCAAGACTCAACAGGGAATTATTCATCCTGAAATTATAGGGCTTGGTAAAAAGAGGTTGGGGCAAGGAAATCACTGGCCCCTTAATGTGAGAGACGGAAAAAGAAAAAAAAAACAAAATTATTCTCTTAGATGAATGTGAAAAAGTAGTTCCTTGGTTTTGAACTTTTCTTGGCTTTGGTCCTGCAGCTTCCTCCCATAACAAGGAAAATACACATGTACTTCTGGGTTGCCATCCGTCTGCTGGGTAACAAGCAGGTCAGGTTCTGTTTTGGGAGGCTTATGACATTCTGCTACAGACAGAAAACTGCCACCTGGAGTCTAGCTTGTCACACAGCTGGGTGTACTTGGTTCCCTGAATTCTACCAAGCCACAAAATTCCGGGATGTGAGGTCAAGCACCCACTGGTTGCCTCAGCGGCCTGTCATGGAAATGCCTGCCACCTGCCACTGTCAGCAGAGCTAAGGAGCATAAGGTCTCATAAGACCAAATTCTGCCCAAGAAATTTCCCTGGCAACATGAGGGTCCCATTGCTCTCAGCCTTGGGTTTTGTGGTATATGAGCTGGCCAGGGATGCCATAACAGAGTACCCCAGACTGGGTGGCTTAAACAAGAGGAATTTATTTCCATGTAGTTCTGGAGGTCAAGGTGTCAGTAGGTTTGGTTTCCTCTGAGGCCTCTCTCCTCGGCTTGCAGATGGCTATCTTCTCCCCCTGTCTTCACCTGGTCTTTCCTCTCTGTTGTTGTCTCTGTCCTAATCTCCTCTTCCCATCAGGACACCAGTCATACGGGATGATGGCCCTCCCTAATCAACTAATTTTGACTTAATTACCTCTCTCAAGGCCTCATCTCCAAACACAGTCATGGAGGTGCTGAGGCTTAGGGCTTCCATGTATAAAATGGAAGGGTACGGCAACTCAGCCCCTAAAACACGAGCGGTCGAATTTCTTCTTCATCTTGTCCAGGAGAGAAGATGACTCTGAGCATCTCGGTCCTGCTGTCCTTAACCGTGTTCCTCCTGGTCATCGTGGAGCTGATCCCCTCCACCTCCAGTGCTGTGCCCTTGATTGGGAAATACATGCTGTTCACCATGGTGTTTGTCATCGCGTCCATCATCATCACCGTCATTGTCATCAACACACACCACCGCTCCCCCAGCACCCACGTCATGCCCGACTGGGTACGCAAGGTGAGTGAGCGAGATCCTGCAATCTCTTGCCCACGAGAACGTCTCTCCTTCCAGAGGGCCAATGGAATTCTGGCTCACACTTGTGGGTACTTAGGAACTGAAAGTCCTTTCTGGGGATTTTGAGGGGATTTCTGGAAGGAACTTTCTTTAGCCTCTTTCTAGGAATAAATAACTCACGTAGCCTCCCCAGACACAGAAGAAAAACAGAATTAATAAAGCCCACTCCAAATTCAAGCTATAATAATCTCTATGATTAGAGAAGGTGAAGAAATCACTGTCTTTTTATTCAAAGGCTGTGAAATTCTTGAGATTTCTGTTTGTATGTCTTCCAATCTCTGAACAGACTGCTTATTTTTTGCTGGAAAAAAATCATCTGCTGAGAGTAGAATAAGGACTAGAGATGGAGGGGTGCTTGACAAGAAATTGTCAAAAAGTGAGTTTCACTGAGGAACTTGGTCTCAAATATTTACATTATTGAAATTTAAAATGTGTTAACATTTCCAATATGTCAATTTTTAAATAAAACTTCACAGAGACACTAGTGTCCAGGGTCTCTTCTGTCGCATGCAAAAGATTTGTCATGAATTGACAGAGACACTACTGCTTGCAATGTATTCTTTTGGGAAGACAGTCAGTTCCTGCATCTGTAAAGACTCACATGACTCCTGGCAACACCTATGTTGCATTTCTTCAGGAATAAGAAATGGAAGAAAACAGAGGAGCTGTTTTGGAAACTTATATGTTCTCTTAGCCAGAAAGACCTTTTCTTTAATCATATTATCCTGCTAACACATGGCTTTGAAAGAAGCCAGTACCTAGAGCTGGGCTGGAAGCTTAAGCATCATTGGCTTCTCATTGAGTCCAATAGCTGCACACAGGCTCCCTCCAGTGGCGAACTGCTCACATTACAGTCATGCCTCTTCACCTTAGTAATTTGACAGGCCACAAGATAATGTCTGAAGAAATCTTTGAGAAAATCTAGTAGAGCCCTTTTGTTTTAAGGACAAAGAGGCTACGACCCAGAGAAGCCAAATGACTTGTGCCTGGACTCACATTGCTAATTCAAAGTCAGAGTTTGCTACTTGCCCTGCTCACAATAATTCTCATGCGTGGATTTCTTCTTTATGTTAGGTTTTTATCGACACTATCCCAAATATCATGTTCTTCTCCACAATGAAAAGACCCTCTAGAGAAAAACAAGACAAAAAGATTTTTACAGAAGACATTGATATTTCTGACATTTCTGGGAAGCCAGGGCCTCCACCCATGGGTTTCCACTCTCCGCTGATCAAACACCCAGAGGTAAAAAGTGCCATCGAAGGAGTCAAATACATTGCAGAGACCATGAAGTCAGACCAGGAGTCCAATAACGTAAGTTCCGTGGCTTGTCTCACACCTCCAGGCTTAAAAGATCAAATACTTGAGCACAGATGAACGGATTTGTCTTGATGGGTAGGCTGGCATTCACGAGGCAGCTGCTGACCCACGATGGGCCTTGGTGACCACCCCTAAGCCAGCTTCCCGAGCCATCCCACTGGGAATAACCTATTGGAAGGATAAAGATCACCATGCCAGCCAAGGGATGTCGAGGGCTTTGAAATCTACAGATGGAGTGAGCTGTAGACCACGCATAGCGTGAACACTTTGATTCTAATGACCACCTAAAGGAAACGTTAACACTTTTCTCTTTCACAGGCGGCTGAGGAATGGAAGTATGTTGCGATGGTAATGGACCACATTCTCCTCGGAGTCTTCATGCTCGTCTGTATCATTGGAACCCTGGCTGTGTTTGCGGGTCGGCTCATTGAATTAAATCAGCAAGGGTGAGCTGAGCTGAGCACCAGGCAGAGCAGAGAATGGTGGGGAAGACAGAAATATCTGTCTACTTTGATTCGAGCTCATTTATCAGACCTCTAACTTTCTGTATTTATGATTAATGCTACTGATCTATATTTATGTAAGGTGACAACCTCCAGCACCTTCACAGCGCTTCTCCTGCGGTCCTGCTCTATCTTGCCTGGAGAGAGAACCCTTTCCAGAAAATGAAGTGGGATCACTAACAAGGTGTACTCGTTTCCAAAGGCATCTTGAAGAGTTTGGCCCAGAATAACAGGTTTTCTAGTGCTTTGTTTTTTTAAATTTTTTAAGCAAAAATGTATCCGTTGCTTAAAAGTCAGTTTTGTACATACAAGTAGGCCCATCTGCCAGTCCCCAAAAGATAAAGCATTTGATTCAGAGAGAAAAGGAAACCATAGAAAGGCAACAGCTAAGTTCTAGAACAGCCACCAAAATGCAAACTGCATCAGAGCATGTTTCTAGAGCAGGGAGGGGTGGGAGGGGCTTCCCAGGCTAACACAGCCCCCAAGTATGCTGCTCAAAGCTTGAGGAAGGAACACAGTCAGCTGGTTTCCTGAGCTATACCAAGCTTGAGGGCCAGGCACTGTGGGAATCATCTCACGGATGTGGTTTTATTCCTGACTTTCATAATGTCCCTATTTTACAAATGAGAAAGCTGAACTTGTGAAGCTTAAGTTCACTGCTGAAGCTAGCAAGGAGAACTGAGCCAGTTCTGAAACCAGACCTAATCTGGATTCAGAGCAGCTCAGGGGTGGGTCAGCTCATCGGCTCACTTGCTCCGCCGTCCTCTCCCCACCTGACCTAGGCCATCCTGTAACTCCGCTCAGGGTTTTGAGAGCTTCAGTCTTAGTGTCATCCACCTTTTTGCCCTTCCAATTAAATCCCTGGCCCTTTTCCCCAGTCCTCATCCAGTGTTGGATGGGGTTTTTGTTCTATCGCTGAAATCAGAAATGTATGCCCCTATCACCACAATTTCTAAAATTCCAAACAAGAGAACAGGAGAGAAAATGATTTCTCTTCATAGCCACTTTCCAGCCACAAGGTAATGCACTCCAGAAGCAGGAGCCCTGGGTCTGGGTGACTTCTCTGAACCCAGGTGGTTTCGAGCTACTTCTCCATGGAATTCTCGAGCACCCACTCATGGCAGGACAGTGCCTCCATGTGAGAGTAATCTCAAGGGAAAACAGTCTGGTGGTTCCTCAAGAAACTAAACATAGAACTATCCTAGGATCCAATAATTCTACTTCTACGGATACACCCAAAAGTGAAAACAGAGATGTGAAAAGACACACGTGTATGCCAATGTCCACAGCAGCATGAATCACAGTCCCGGAAGGTGGAAACAGTTCAAGTGTCCATCAGCGGAAAAAGCAGTATATACATACAGAGGAATATTATTCAGCCTTAAAGGGGAATGAAATTCTGATGTATGTTACAATACGGATCAACCTCGGAAACATGCTTGCTGAAATAAGCCAGACATGAAAGGACAAATCTTATGATTCCACTTAAATGAGGTACCTAGAAGAGGCACATTTATAGAGAGAGAAAGTAGAATAGAGATTGCCAGGGTTGAGGGGGAGGGGTGAGTTATTGCTCAGTGGGTAGAATTTCAGATTGGGAGGATGGGAAAGTTCTGGAACGGACAGTGGTGACGGTCGTACAACATTGTGGAATGTACTTAATACCACTGGACTGTACACTTAAAAATGGTCGCGATCGTAAATTTTATGCACATTTTACAATTAAAATAAAGAATGAAAACAATAGTCCAACTGTAACTGTCATGTTATGTATATTTTTACCACAACTCGATGAACAAGAAAAAAAATCTGCTGCTTGTCTAATCTGGCCTCATCTCCCAGGACTATTGATTCAGAGAAGGAACTGAAAAGTCACTTCCATTCTCCCCATTTTAAGGATGAGGAAAGGAGGCTTAGAGAAACGACCTCCCTCAGGTCATAGAGCAATTTGGAGACACAGCAGATCTCCTCACTCCGCCCTTGTGCTGTGTTCATCCCATCAAGTAGCCCCACCGTCACCCCCTCCCCCGCAAAGCAAGGCCCTGGGGCACATTCCCTCCCGGCCAGCAGAGCCAGCCTGAGTGGACAGCACAGGGCTATCGGGTAGCTCCAGCAGCTCCTAACATCTGTCCCAGCAGTCCGTCACCACATCATAGGCTTTCATCTTTGTTACCTCTTCTGCAGCTCGGCCCCGTCTCCAGAAGACCGCTGACGCGATGGGAGGGCAGGCAGCGGGTGCTGGAATCTGTGTCTCCAGGGAGGTGTCTGCCAAGGGCCGTGCCCGCCTGGGCTGGCATAGCTCTGTGGAGGAGCGTGTCTGCCTAGCGGGAGGACTTCCTGGGAAGGAGGGGGCATCCTGCAAGTGCGACACCGGCAGGTTCGTGTTGATGGGGCTGCGTTCACAGACGGAAACTGGAAGCAGAAACGACTCAGAGCTCAGCCCTCTAAGTCTTCTTTTCTTGCCCTTGGTTGTCGGAACTGGGAGTTTTGTGTTTGTTTGTTTGTTTTTAATCAGAAATGATGTTAACATTTCAACAAATGAGTTGGGGTCTGCGGGGAGAGATTCTGAGCCCAAGTGTTGGTTGGCCCCAGCCACTGGGGGCCACAGGGCTGTTGCATTCCTCCTGGGTGGGGGGTAGGGAGCCATGCAGAGGGGCTCAGGCAGTAGCCTCCTTGCCCACTGCCCAGATGATTCCAGCCCACCGTAAGAACGGGGGCCGGCTTCAAGCCTGAGTTCCCTGCTCCCGGGTCTCAAACCACCATGTTCAAGGTCATCTCTCCCACAGCTGCCACTTGAGTTCTAGCTGCATGCCCGTTCTTGAGCGGCCCATAGGCACCAGAGGTCTCTCTCCCTCCACACCCTCCCTCTGCCTCTGCCCAAATCCCTCAAGCCCCACCCCTCAACCATGTCCTTGCCCAACGGAGAGTCTCTGCTGTCTGGGTTTTCCAAGTAAGCCTCCTCGCTGCTGGCAAAGGGCCGTCCCCAATACCACCCATGTTCCAATCACTGCTGCCCAAGGTTATGTTCCTACAGCCTGAGTTCTCCAACTCCTCCTCCCCAAACTGACCCATGCTACAACCCACCGCAGCCAGTGTTTACCAGTTACCCCAGCCACAGCCTCTTCAGCACCCCCGCCTGGGTCCAACTGCCAGGGACTTCATTTCTTCCCCCCTCCCCCTGCCTGGGTCTGTCCTGATTGCAGCCCCAGCTGGGAGTCAACGCTCTCCTTCACAGCTCTTCTCCCCTTTCCTGCCTGCTGATTTACCCTCACCCCCCACAGCTGGGCGGCTCGGTCTTTCCCCGACTCCTACCCTCATCCTCACTGTCGCTGTCACCACTGAGGCTGCTGGAGCCAGGCTGTCGTCCTCATCCTTGGGCTCAGGGGCTCCGAGTGGGCAGAGGAGGCAGGCAGGGATGGGGAGGGGCCAGAGCCTGCTGCTGCCTGGTTGGGGGCAGCCACAGACAGGGGGCAGCAGGGCCTGAGCCTGTCCCCTGGAGAATCTCCAACAAGTCAGCTGTGTGGGCCTCCACTGCCAAGTGCAGGCTGCTCGTGGGCTCTGGTGGGTGGAGTAGCCAGACCTTGTCAGCCTCTTCAAGGACGGCAGCCACGTGGAGAGGGCCGTGGTCCTTGTCGTTTTCAATCCACAACTATAGTTTCCAGTCCTCCTCACTTTAACTTCTCCGAGTGGGTTCTGGGGCTGCTGTTGGGGACATGTTTGGGCCCTGAGCTAGGTAGGGATCAGGGGCTCCTTGGGGCAGCCAGAGGGGACTGGCGCCCTGCCTGCGGCAGCAACCCAGTGTGTGCCACACACTTCTGCAGTGGACGCCTGCGCAGGTGGGCTGCCAGGTGCGGGGCTGTCTGGCCCAGCTCGTTCTGCAGGCCTGGGTACCCGGAGCCAGCTGCAAAGCCGAGCAGCAGATCCAGGAAGGGACTGTGGTGATGAGTGACCTCAGAGTGTAGTGCCGGGCCCCATCTGCGGGGCTGTAGCCAAAGACGAGGGGTGCCCACAACAGCCCAGGCCCACCTCTACCTGGGCTAGTCCTCCCAGGAGCATCGAGTCTGGACCCTGTGAGCCCAGGACACTGACACGCCATTCATGTGTATCCAAAGCCTTCCCAAGCCGGTGCCCTGGCTGTGACCCCCCAACCGCAGCCCCTAAGTCTCCTTTTGCATTGGTGGCGTCCATGGAGAGGGGCCTAGAGAAGTGGGGAGAGCTCTGTGTCCCAAGGCTGCGTAACCAAGTGTCACAAGCTGGGAGGCGTAAAACAACAGAAATTCCTTCTCTCCCAGCTCTGGAGGCTGCTGTGGATTGAACTGCATCCTCCAGATCTGTACACTGAAGCCCTGCCCCCCCCAGGTGATGGTGATTAAAGATGGGGCTTTGGGGAATTCAGGCTCAGATGAGGTTGTGAGAGTAGGAGCCTCACAATGGGAGTAGAGCTTCTGAAGGAGAAACACTTTCTCTCTAGCTCTCGCTGCCCTGTGAGGACCCAGAGTGAAGGTGATGGGCCCCGAGTCAGGAAGAGGGCCCTTACCAAAGCCTGGTCACGCTGGCCTCCTGACCTCACGTTTCCAGCTTCCAGGACTGAGGGCAAATACATTTCTGTCGGTCAAGCCACCCGCTCTGTGGTAACTGGTTATGGTAGCGTGAGCTAAGATGAGGCCCAAAGTCCAAAATGGCAGCGTTCACAGGCCGATTCCTTCTGGAAGCTCTGAGGGAGAACCAGTCCCAGGCTTCACTTGTAGCTTCTGTTGGCTGTGGGCCACCCCCTTCTAAAGGACCTTTTCTGTCCTTTAGAAGAACACCTGCCATTGGATTTGGGGTCTACCCGAAGTCCAGGATGATCCATAACTGCAAAGACCCTATTTCCAAACAGTGTCACGTTCATAGGTATCAGGGGTTAGGACTGAGACACACCTTTTGGGGCCATTAGTCCAACTCCAAGCACTAAGCAGAAAGCAGGGTTGGATAGAGTGGCTGTGGGAAGATGGGAAATCCTTCCCGGAAACCCCAGAGGGAGCGGAGTGTGGAGAGGACATGCTGAGCTAGACTCCTGCAGCCTCCCAAAATAGACTCAACACTTCACCCCTGCACCCTCAACCCACCACCACTGCCCTCTCCCAGCCAGGAGA